AAAAAAAAAAAAAAAAAAAAAAAAAAAAACTTATTTACAAGGCCATCTATCATCTGACTCCTACCTTCTTTCCTCGTCTCTTCCCACTATTCCTCCTTCACTTATGTGATTCAGTTTAAACTGGCCTTTTCCTGGTTCCCAGACCAAGCCACTTTCCACTGCAGGGTCTGTATGCTCTTCTCTCTGCTTGAAAAGCTTGAGCCCCAGCTCTTCATGTGGCTGATTCATTCTCATCCTCCAGGTATCAGCTCAGATATATCACCTCCTCAGAGAGGTCTGTCCTGACCATCGTATCCAAAGTGGCTTCCTCCAGTTAATCGCTGTCTCATCTCCCCCCGTTTTTGTTATCACAGTCTGTAATGCTCTTCTTTATTTATGTACTTGTTTATCGTCTGTCTTTTCCATCAGACTTGTTGACTCCTTGAAGTCAGAGGCTTTGTTTACTGCTTTATCCTCTGCAACTAGAGCTGAGCAAAACACAGAGTAGGTATTAAATAATTGGTGGCTGACTGAATGAATGAATGAATTTGCTGAAGAGTAATTGAAGATCTTCTCTGGGTCTTTTACCTTAGCCTATCCACATATTCACATTTCAGTATTATTATGTCCATACAGCTTCCAGGTAGCACTCTAGGCTTCCCTCTCAGCCTTGAAAATACAGACTATACCCAATGCCACTTCCCTTCACTCCTGAACATACTCTCCTCTGACCCTCATCATTCCACAAAAACTATTCTTGTTAGGGGCTTCCTATTTACCGAATCCAATGCCTGCTTCGTAGCCCTTATCTCACATATCTGCTTCACACTGTGAGTACTCCTCTCTTCCTGAAACTTTTCTGCTTTGACTTCATACTACTATAGATACCTTTGTAAGCAGTGGTTATGAACTGGGGGCAGTTTTGCCCTCCAGGGATATTTGGTAATGTCTGGAGACATTTTTGGTCATCATAACTGGGACGGGGTTGCTGCTACTGGCATCTGGTGGGTAGAAGCCAGGATTGCTGTTAAACATTCTACAATGTACAGGACAGCTCCCCACACTTACAGCCAAGAATTATCTGGCCCCAAACGTCAATAATGCAAAGGCTAAGGAACTCTAGTATACAGAATGTCCTGCAGACACTTCATGTATAAGATGGACATGTTCAAAGATAAATCATGGGGCTTCCCTGGTGGCGCAGTGGTTGAGAGTCTGCCTGCCGATGCAGGGGGCGCGGGTTTGTGCCCCGGTCCCGGGAGATCCCACATGCTGCGGAGCGGCTGGGCCCATGAGCCATGGCCGCTGAGCCTGCGCATCTGGAGCCTGTGCTCCGCAACGGGAGAGGCCACAACAGTGAGAGGCCCACGTACCGCAAAAAAAAAAAAAAAAAAACATTACTCCCCTTTTCACCTACTTACTTGTTACTTGTTATTCCTAATTTGATTAACAATACTTAGTCTTATAAAGCAGTATCCTGGGAATAATGTTTTATTTCCTGCCTTTCCTTCCTCAAGCTCATCTACTAGTCACTAATTCCCTTTTGATTTTATCTCCTAAATATCTGTCATCCTTTTTCTTCCCTCAGCTACTGCTGCCTTTGTATGAGTGTAGACATCATTTAGTTTGCAAGAGTCTCCTAAACAGACTCCCTGTTTTTAGTCTTATAAATGCCTCAACTCATGCTCCTTGGACAATCTTTCTAAAATAGAAGCCCAATTACATTTCTCCCACTGTCTACAAGATAAAGGCTGAGCTCCCAGGTCTGGCCTACCATGCTTACCATATGTTTTATTACCTACAGATCTGTGTTCTGTTGTACCTCTTCCTAATCCTCTTCTAATAAAAACACAAGAAAACAGAACCAACAAAACAAAGCAAAAAGCTTCATGTTCCACACTTTTGTTTATTGGACATGATAACCCCTGTTTTGGAATGCCTTCTCCACCAGGACCCTACCAGGCCTTCCTCCTTTGAAAACTCTGCTCTGTGCATGTGCATGCTTTTATTGGGACACATACTGTATACATACCATCTCAAGTATAAAATCCCAGTTCAAAAAGTGGAGTATAACAAAGCAATATATTTGTATGCCACTTAGAGTTAAAATTTTTGAATTCCCAGTCTATGAGGTAGAAAATTCCAATAAATTCATGGTCCCCCACCCCCTTACCTCTGTTTTGTGGTTAAATTCTGGGGGAACCTTCATAGTACCTAAGTTTTGGAACAGATACAGGCACTAACACTTCATCACCATGAAAAGGGCTTCTTCAGATTTGCAGGTTCTCTTCTTGGCATCTGGGTCTTGCTTGCAGATATCCTCATCATTTTGCTTTTATGGAGCCTGAAAATCTTTCTAAGGCTTCCTATGGCTTCTGCATTTCACAGAATTATTCCCTCTCTGGCATCTTGCTATCTAGCCCAGATTAGCCGGAATGCAGACATTAGGTCTTTACTTAGGGACCCAGGGGTATTCCCTTTCTTTTAATCTTTTTAATATTTTGCTTCAGAAGCATTTCCTGTCTTGTGAAAATTTTGTCTCTGAGGCATGTAATATTTTCTTCAATGGCTTTAGACTTTTAATGGGCTTAGTCACATAAAAGCTAATGACTGTCAAATTTTTCCTGCTTAGTCCTGCCCATCCCCACACTTGAGGTAGGGTGAAAAACAACGGCAAGTAGCTCCTAAACTGAACAGTTCATTGGATACACCTGAAAGAGCTTTTAAAATGAAAGATGTTACCACCCCCAACTCTGCACAATCAGAATTTGTTCTTATAAACGATCACAGGAGATCAAGGTCGAATTTTCTTTCTTTTTTTTTTTGCGGTACGCGGGTCTTTCACTGTTGTGGCCTCTCCCGTTGCGGAGCACAGGCTCCGGAGGCCCAGGCTTAGCGGCCATGGCTCACGGGCCCAGCCGTTCCGCGGCATGTGGGATCTTCCCGGACCGGGGCACGAACCCGCGTCCCCTGCCTCGGCAGGCGGACTCTCAACCACTGCGCCACCAGGGAAGCCCAAGGTCGAATTTTCGAATTCCTCAGTGGTGGACGTTGGGCAGGGCTCTGCTCACTCTGTTTTTCCTCAAAGTCTCCAAATTTTTACCCCGGTAGTATGCCCTGCCTCTACCTCTCCCTCCTTTGGCGCTGCTCTCTCCTTCCTGCTAGCAGCTCCTAGCCTCTCCCTCCCCTTCTTACCCCTTCCCTACCCACCGCGCTCCACCTCACAGCCCCGCCCCGCCCGTCTCTGCCTCGTCCCACCCCTCTCCCCCCAACCCAACTCTACTTCCCGGCTCCATCCCTCCCCGCTCCTCCTTGCCCCGCTCCACCTCCTAGCCCCGCCCCACCCCTTCTCTCCGCTCCTCCCCTCTTCCCCGCCCCACCCTCTCTCAGCCCCGCCCCTCAGCCCCGCCCCGCTCCACCTCGTATTCTTTCCGCTTCTTCCCTTTCCCTGCCCTGTCTTCCTGGCCTTGTAGTCTCCTCCCCTCTTTTGGTTCCTCCTTAACATTCCTCTGCTCTGCAGCGAGCTCTTTCGTCTCAGACTTGTTACGTTTACTCTGCGCCGGAAGAAGAACCTGAGGACGCTTTTGGGACTATGGCGGCGGTGGATATCCGAGGTAACCTGTGCTGTCCCCTTTGTTTCCTGATTGTTTGGGAGCTGGTTTAGGGATTTATAGCTCTTGGGGGCAAGATTCCGGTTCCCTTGTGATGTCTCCCAAGCTCTTTGGAATGTTTTCTGTGAACGACCCAAAGCGCCAATCTGTCGAAAAATTGCCTAGATTTTCGCAGTTTTTCAGGAGTCTCTTAGAAGAGTCAAAACGAAGGGGTTGGAAGAAGCTCTGGGCTTTGAGCCCTGTAGTGTTGTCCTATATACGTATCTCTACAGCAGTATTGGGGCTGTTCTGTCCAGGTGAAGGAACGACAGAGAAGGGGGTGGGGTCATGAGCCGACAGTGTTTGGTTCATTCTTGGCACTTGGCCTGGGGCCTACCTTATTCCTGACGTTTGAGGTTCCTTTTTCTATATTAACCAAATTGGAGTCTAGCACACATATTCCAAATATATTGTCATTTATATATTGTCAGAATGTCCAGTGATCTTCAGCAGTTCTGGATAATGTTTACTATATGTTTGTCTTTCATTATAAGTGAGAATATCAAGTACCTAATTTCATTACTTGCTGACTGTTAGAGAGCTGTATTAGAGCCATGTCAGTATGCTCTCCCTTGCTACTAAATACAAAAGAGGAACATTTAGTCCACGAGGCTGTTTAGCTTTCATAACTTTTTACTTTTTATTTAGATTTGTTAGGTCCATTGCAAAGGCTCTAAGGTGGGAACATGTCAGAAGAACAGCAAGGGGGCCAGTATGGCTGAAGCACAGTGAGCGAGGAGGCGGGAAGTAGATGAGGTCAGAGAGAGAATTGGTGTGGTGGCTTGTTCATACAGGAATTGTAGGCCGTGGTAAGGCCTTTGGCTTGTCCTCTGAGTAAAATAGAGAACCACTGGAGGGTTTTGACCAGAAGGGATGAACGTAACCTGACTTACTTTTTTTTAGGATCACCTTGACTGCTGAGAACACTGTAGGAGGGCAAAGGTAGAATTAGGGAGACCGGTTAGGAAGGCGTTTTTGTAATGCATGGGGATTTGGGGGTGGCTCAGACTAGGGTGGTAACAGTGGAGATGGTAAGAAATAGTTGGAGTCTGCTTGTTTTGGTAGTGTAGTCTATTGGGCTGTGGTCACAGGTAGCTTCTATGTAGGAGAACTAATATATCCTATTTCACAGCCACACACCACCCTCTTAACCCCAGTTAACTAGTTTGTAACTGAACATACTTGGATACTGGAGTGTGTGTAAATTTATGTCCTTAGCCCTTAATCATGAATTAATAAACATTTTCTAATTCTTACCAAACAGGTCCTGTGCTAGTTCTGATGAGTAACCCACAGCCCCAGTTCCTTAAAAAACTCAGCATTTAATGGGAAAACATTTGTACTTGTGGGTTATTAATAATCAATTATAAAACTATATAAAAACCGCTATGAGGACATAGAGAAAGAAACCATTATTTCTGCCTTGCAAAGTAGAGAAAGGCTTTGCAGAGATTAGTGACATTTAAAATGAGTTTAATCTAGCTTGACCATTTGAATATCTAGTAAACCTATACCTTTTTAGAATGAAAGACGTTTCTATATTTTTTAGAAGTGCATAAACTAGAAAAAAAAAGAGGCACAAACTAGGACAGCCTTTGGTTAAGCCAGAAATAAGTTTGTTCATATTAATCTTAAAAGAAATTGACTACCAGCACTACCACCATCATCATAATGAACATTTATTGGGTTATTACAATGTACTAAGCATTTTACATATATAATCTAGCATGCAGATACTATTATAATCCCTATTTTATAGATGAGAAAACTAAGGCATGGGGAGGTTGAACTTTTCCATTCTTCCTTCTTCAACCAGTGATTATATAGGCAATTTGATGTTTCATGACTTACAGCTAGTGGGATTTAGTACTGTCAGTGGTATGAAACATTGCAGCCAGTACCCAATAAAAGCTCATTAATTAAAGCTATCTAGCCCTACTTATCATGTCTTTGTTTTCTTTTTCCATTTTGAAAAATTTAAAGTTTAATTCTTTAAAATGTGAAATTGTATGGCTGTAATTAAGGGCATTCTACTTTTCATTTGCCCCTTTTACATAATTATTATCTCATCTATAATAATAGATTCCTAACTTATTTCTGTCTCTTTAATTGGAAGATCTCCCATTAGTGGCGATGGATGTGTTTTCTTTGGCATACATATTGTTTGAAAATTTTTGAATTAGTTGCCAACATTATAAAAACTCAGGATTTCCGATATTTTGAAAGACCTCTCTAGATTTCAAATCCTATAACTTCTTCACCTAATTGAGTTATTCTTTAAACATATAATGTACTTTTATTTATTTATTGAATCTTTGAATTTTATTTATTTTTTATACAGCAGGCTCATTAGTTATCTATTTTATACATATTAGTGTATATATGTCAATCAGAATCTCCCAATTAAACATATAATATTCTTTTGTATTTCCCTACCTTTGTATATGCATTACCTCTGCTTGGAATTACTTTGCCTCTCTTTTCTCCATGGTGAGCCTCTATTTATTCTTTAACATATAGTGCTAAAACCCACCTCCTCCTCATCCCATGAAAAACCATTCCTGTTCCCTCAGGTAAGGTATTCTGCTTGCTCCACTGTGCTCTCATAACACATTTATTCATACCTTTATTATGGATCTTGTGTTGTCATTGCTTTCTTGCATACTTAGCTCTTCTGCGGGACTGTGAGGGTATGTAGGTTAGGATCCACGTCATCCTTATATTCATAGTGCCTCCTACATTATATGCATAATAAATGTTTGTTGGATTGGATTTTTTTCTCTTTTCTCATCCTTTATCATTTTGTTTCTTTTCTATAGATAATCTGCTGGGAATCTCTTGGGTTGACAGTTCCTGGATCCCTATTTTGAACAGTGGAAGTGTCCTGGATTACTTTTCAGAAAGAAGTAATCCTTTTTATGACAGGACATGTAATAATGAAGTGGTCAAAATGCAGAGGCTAACATTAGAACACTTAAAGTAAGTTATTATAAGAAGGTAGCATTTTTGCCAACTGCAGATTTTGTAATGAATAGTTCTTTCAAGCTGTGAATCATGAAGTACAGAGTAGAAGTGTTGGAAGAACCGGAGTTTTGTTTGGGTTTGTGCAGATTTGACATGCAAAGGAATTATTAGTAGTCACTTGTAACCTGGGAAGTCTTTTCTTTATAACTGCACATATTACTGTCTAGTTAAAATGCAACTATGAGGTTTAGATGTAAATCTCATTGATTTCCGCAATGCAACTGTTACCTTAACCAGGTAACTATATATGTTGTCTCCTCTACATGTAATTTGATGTCTTAAATCATAGTCGAGTTTATAGTAGATTTTTCTTTGTTTGACAAATAAAATTTTAGCCAAATTTAGCAAGATTCTTCAGACTTGGGATGCTAAATAATTCATTACTATTATAAAAGTTTCTGAAACAACTGTGTAATGAAGTTTTTCATCTGTCAGCTAAACATGGAGAGCAGGGGTTCTAAGAAATTAAATTTCTGGTATTTTAAATAGCTTTTGTTTTGAGGTAAATATTTACATTTACTGAGATACCTTGGTGTTGCTTTTAAACATAGTATGTCAGGAAAAAATATGTTGGGGGTGAGGATAAGGTTTTTGATGTTTTCTGGTTGGGTACAATATATAGTAGTGATCTATATTAAGACAGGTATAGTGTTCATGTGTATTTTAATATTTTATATATATTTATAGATCTCCTTGGTCAGGAAGCATCCTGGTATTTTGGTTGCCTTTTTTGAAATGTAGGTTCATTGTACTCTCATGACTGAAAATACTCCGATTTAAGTTCATCATGAATTTTTGTAGAGAAATTTTGTTGTTGTTTAAAAACGAAATCTTACTTTATTTGAGCCCCACCTACCTGGGAAAAATAGCCAGTTTTATTGAACAGCCAATTTTTCATATCAAACATAGGCAGTTTTATCCTGTTTACAATGTTGCTATACTTTTATGTGATAATTTGAATGTTCTAGAGAATTGTTTGTAGGGCATTCATAGATCTCTGAGTGTCTGTGTCCTGTTTTCAGTCAGATGGTTGGAGTGGAATACATCCTTTTACATGCCCAAGAGCCCATTCTTTTTATCATTCGAAAGCAACAGCGGCAGTCCCCTACTCAAGGTAAAATATGTAAACTTTAGGCATTATTTTCTTCTTAAAATACCATGATTTATTTACTCCTGAGCTATATATGTTCTTATTTTTGTGGATTGGGTTCTGTTTTAGGGATTTGTAGGAATCCATGTGTAGGCTTCCTATGCTTTCCCTTCTGTGAGGGGCCACACCAAGTGCACCTTCCCTCTAGTAGTGAAATGCAGTGTGTACTATGTCTGCTCAGAGCTCAGGGAAGACCGTTTGAGACTCTGAGTCCAGAATTTTTATTGAGGGCTGATCATGTAGACGTCCTCTGCCTGTCAAATTCTAGTCTCTCAGAAGGAAATCAGGTTTAATTCTTGGCAGATGCAGTTGCACCAAATTCATAAAAGATCAATGGAAAATCCTCATTGATACATTCAATCAAAATTACCAGACAAAAACTTGCTTTAGAAATCATACTGAAAAGTATAGAATTCAGACTTGATTTTCAATCAAAGAGCTAGTCACCTATTCCAGAGATGACCAGCTACATCTCTTAAATTAGATACTCTCATCAAGACCTTTGAGAATAACCTTCACCCTAGTATTGATTCCAGAGAATGACTTGCTACTGAAGTTGTGGTTCCAGAGTCAAGAATCCAAATTTACTTTCAAAGTCAAAGATCTAGGACTTCCCTGGTGGCGCAGTGGTTAAGAATCCGCCTGCCAGTGCAGGGGACATGGGTTCGAGCCCTGGTCCGGGAAGATCCCACATGCTGCAGAGCAACTAAGCCTGTGTGCCACAACTACAGAGCCTGCGCCCTAGAGCCCGTGAGGCACGACTACCGAAGCCCGAGCACCTAGAGCCCATGCTCCGCAACAAGAGAAGCCACCACAATGAGAAGCCCGCACACTGCAACAAAGACCAAACACAGCCAAAAATAAATAAATAAAGATGAATTAATTAAAAAAAAAAAAGTCAAAGATCTAGAGTCCCTGCCCAGAGAAACTTAGAACAAAGACAAGGCTGGGGACAAGAGTTCCATGATGGAAGGGTTCCAGGTACAGAAGCGACAGAAGATGGCACCAGCCTCACTAGCCGCTGTTTTATTCCGTAGGACCTCGGACTGGGGCACAGAGGCAAGTTCAGTGTGTCTGGTATCTTCATCCTGGGCCCTAAATCTCTCTTGCTCTAAGGTCTTATTCCCCAAAGTGTGGTTGACTGACAGCAGCATCGGATCACTTAGGAACTTGTTAGAAATGCATCGTCCCTACTGAGTAAGAATCTGATTTTAACAAGATACTCAGGTGATTCAAAAGCACGTTAAAGTTTAAGAAGCACTGCTCCTAGGGCAAACGTTTTTTTTAGCAAACTTTTTCTGTGAAGGTCCAGAGACTAAATATTTTAGGCTTTGGAGCCTCATGGTCTCTGAGACAACTATTCAACTAGTGCCATAGCAGCCTTAGATAATAACGCAAATGAATGAGTGTGGTTATTTTCCTATATAACTTTATTTACAAAAACAGGAATTGCCAAACCCTACCTTAAGCTTTAGTGTGGGAAAATGTTAAACTTTAGTTGTTCTTTTTATGGAAATGTATTTAGCAGTTTGTGTGCATAGCTATGTTGATAAACATTTTTTTTCGTCGCTGCTTTAGTTATCCCACTGGCTGATTACTATATTATTGCCGGAGTGATCTATCAGGCACCAGACTTGGGATCAGTTATAAACTCTAGAGTGGTGAGTGTCTTTACATACTTTAAACATTAAAGAAAACTTCTAACCGAACTCCCTTGCTACCGAGAATTAAACAGGAACTCCTCTCCCTTGTGTACGTTGGTATAAAGTGTTGACTATTAGAATATCTTAAGCATTGGTTCCTGTGGGCCAACTCCATGTTCAAAGTATATACCACCCCTAGATACATAGTGATTCAGGTTCTGAAAAGCAGAAGATTTACTGTCTTTGCATATGTAATATTTTGTGTTCACTTTGTAAAGTTTGGATGATTGATGAGAAATTCAGAATTTGTTTTCTTTTTCTAAGCTTACTGTGGTACATGGCATTCAGTCAGCTTTTGATGAAGCTATGTCATACTGTCGATATCATCCTTCCAAAGGGTATTGGTGGCACTTCAAAGATCACGAAGAGCAAGGTAGGTGGGACACCGAGACCCTCCTAAAACACTTTTTGTTACTCAGAGAATGAAGCTGCTTTCTTTCGGAAGATGGCTATTGATGATTTCTAGCTGTGTTTTACTTCTCTGTGGGAAGGTTTCATAGGATGATGACATTGTCAGAGCTATGATTCATGTAACTAGATGTGGTAATAATAGCATTCCCATAGGAACAGGTACAAATTTTAATCTCTTTGGTACATGATAATCTTTGATAAGTTGATACAAGGTTTTAAAATATTTAGGACATGTAGGGGAAATCAGTGATGAGGAATGAGTAATGATGATATTTCCTGCTTACCAAACTGTTGAGTCATCTTGAAATCTGGAACCCAAGTCTTCCAAGTTTTTGAAATAGGGGAGATGCTCTTAAAGCCCTATCTCCAGATGAACAGTCTGTTTTCTGATCTTTCTATGTTACCGCCTGTCGTGATGCCAGGTCCTCTAGTTGCCATAGCTGCTAATCTGCTACTTGTTCTGTACCATATTTTACTAATAAAAGTACTTCTAGAAATGTATCTATAGCAGTATACCTATATTCTGCATTTCTTTCTAGAGAAATAGAAACTTAGAATGAATTACTATGGAAAAGGTAGCCTTTAAATAAAATTCAGACCCGTGGAATGAATGGTCTTTGAGATACAGTTATATTTATTCGTAATAGTAGGTCCCGGCGACAACATTTGACTTAGGAAAGTTTGCATCAGTTGAATAAACTTCTCCCAAGAGCTCTTTGCCCCTACCCTAATGAAATGTTTGGAGTAAAACTTAACTGGAACCCTATCTTTATAGACAGTCCACCAGCACACTCCCCTCCCAGGGAAAATCCCACACGTGATTAGCTTCATAATTTTTCTTGCAAGTTCTTTTCTCTCTTGTCTTTATGATCTTCTGTTGTTTGGTTTGTCCTGTTTTTTTCAGTGGATTATAGTCTTCATAATTGAGTATGGTTACTTGAGTTTATGAAAGTTGCATTTTCCATTTGTACCTATTAGGTTTTATGGGAAAAGTCTGTTTAATACACTTAAAATATACACAAGATAATTTCAAACCAATAATCTGAATGTGACTTAGGTAATTATGGAAAATTTAGCCTTAAAGTTTTCCATAATTAAGTAATTATGGAAACATAAGAACGATGTTTATCCATGTTTACATGCTAAAACCGAAATGTCTTTGAAAGATATATCAGCTTTTTAAATGTTAGAATTTTAACCTCATTTCAGAGGCAGAGTTTGAATGCTTCTCTGTATATGCTATATTTAACGTATTTGGGGGGATTATCTTTGGAATAGCAGCCATTAAAAATAATAAAATTTGAATATATTCATGGCAGACAAAGATTTGTGAAATAATAAGGCACCAAAGTAGTTTAGACAATGTTTTGATTTGGACCTTATATTTTAATAGATAAAGTCAAACCTAAAGTCAAAAGGAAAGAAGAACCGAGCTCTATTTTCCAGAGACAGCGTGTGGATGCTTTACTCCTAGACCTTAGACAAAAATTTCCACCCAGATTTGTGCAGGTAATGAGAATGCGTGTGGTTAATTTTGATTCAACACTTTTTCCTGGCATATTTATTTTTAATTGAGGACTGTTTCAGATGTGACCTAAAAATACTGATTTTCCTTGTTAGTTAAAAAAATGATCTCTGAATCAAAGAAAGGTTTTTCAAGGACTTAATGGAGGAGGTGGTAAAGGGAATGGAATTAGTACTGTTCCGTGCGCTTAAGTTTATTTAATTCCTTATTGAATCTTCGTAAACTGTGAGGACTGAATATAATAATATTCTCATTCAGAAGGTTGCTGAAAGTGTCATAGATGGTAACAAAACTAGAATTTGAAACTCATGCTGTTTTTACTGTACGTGCTGCCTTCCACCCTGATGTAGAGGGTATTTAAGTCCTTAAATGATAGAATAATAAAAACTTTGTAATAAAAAGAATAGTACATTTGATGTGGAGGGTTTGGCATGATAAATGGAGGAGGCAGGAGTAATAATAAATAGACTTATAACATACATTGGAGCTATATGAATTCCATTATGTTGTCTTGGGCATTCCAACAGCAATAGCAGGTCCACGTACCGTGGTACTAAATGAGCTTTTGCAGAGAAGTAAGTGTGAGATGGAATATGTGAACATGTTATTCTTATGGTTTGCCTCAGCTCTTACTTATCTTTACAGGGCTGTGTACACACAAGGTCATGTTTTTCCTGTGGAGGGCCTATTTAAGAGATTTCCAAGGGTTGTTTTAGACTGAGATTTTTCACACCCTGAGATGACTTTAGAATAGGCCTTTCCTTCCCCCTTCCCTGACTCTACTGGATGAGGTGTACTGTTGGAATGGTGACGTGGTGGTGAAGGGAGCAGAGGCCACAGTTGGAACTCAGGACCAAAAAGCCAGTTTAGAGAAATCTCATGAATTGCGCGTGAAGATGAAACAATATCTGTTGAATAAATAAATAAATGAATTATAGCTCTGTGTAAGATGACGAGTAGTGACTACAGAGTGTAAGAGGTTAGGTGTGGTTGGCCATTCGTGGCAGAACACCTAGAACTGCACAGTACAGTAGCCCCTAGGCACATGTGACTATTGTGCATTTGAAACACAGCTAGTCCAAACTGAGTTGTGTTATGTGTGAAATACATACTGGGTTCAAGCACTTAGTACAAAAAATTTATAAAATATTTCATTAATAGTTAAAAATATTGATTATATGTCAGTGATACCCTTTTAGATACATTTGGTTAAAAATAATAAAATTCATCTGTTTCTTTCTGAAAATGTGACTACTAGAAAAATTTAAATTACATATATAGCTTGTATTTGTGGCTCACATTATATTTTGGGCAGTGCTGATCTAGAAAATGGGAACAGAAAATGCAAAACCAAAAACATGAAAGATGATCAATGAACACATACTCAGAAACCAAGAAAATCCCTCAGTTTGTTCTTTGTCTAGTTTCTTGAGGTGTAAAGTTAGGTTGTTTGCGATCTTTCCTTTTTAATGTAGGATTTATTGCTATAAACTTCCCTCTTAGTACTTCTTTTTCTGCATCCCATAAGTTTTGGTATGATGTAGTTTCATTTTAATTTCTCTCCAGATAATTTCTGATTTCCCTTTTGATTCCTTCTTTGGCCTACTGGTTGTTCAGGAGTGTTTTGTTTAATTTCCACTTATAAGTTAGCAGAAGAAAAGAAATTACAAAGATTAAAAATTATGAAATAGAGACTAGAAAAACAATAGAAAAGAATCAGTGATACACCAGAAACTAACACAACATTTTAAATCAACTATACTTCAATAAAAACAACAACAAAAAAGCAAGGAAACTAAGGGTTGGTGTTTTGAAAAGATAAACGAAATTGACCAACTTTTAGCTAGACTAACAAAGAGAGGAGACTCAAATAAATAAAATTAGAAATTGAAGAGACGTTACTACTGATGCCACAGAAGTAAAATGATCGTAAGAGACTACTATAAACAGTTTATATGCCAAGAAATTGGGTAACCTATAAGAAATTCCTAGAACATATGACCTACCAAGACTGAGTCATGAAGAAATAGAAAATCTGAACAGACCAATAATGAATAAGGAGACTGAATCAGTAATCACAAACCTCCCAAAGAAATGTCTAGGAACAGATGACTTCATGGATGAATTCTACCAAACATTTAAAGAGAATTAACACCAATCCTTCTCAAACTCTTCCAAAAAAATTAAAGAGGAGGGAACACTTCCAAATTCATTTTATGAGGCCAGCATTACTCTGATACCAACGACCAAAAGACACTACAAGACAAGAAAACTACAGTCCAATAAAAATAGATGCAAAAATTCTCAATGAAATACTAGCAAATCAAATGCAGTAGCCCATTAAGAGGATCATATATCATGATCAAGTGGGATTTATCCCTGGGGTGCAGAGATGGTTCGACATACTAAAATCAATCAGTATGATACACTACATTATCAGGATGAAGGATAAAAATCACATGATCATCTCAATAGATGCAGAAAAAGCATTTGGGAAAATTCAACATCTTTTTATGGTAAAAACAACAAACTAGGTATAAAAGGAATGTACCTCAACATCATAAAAGCCACGTATAACAAACCCTTTTTATGGTAAAAACAACAAACTAGGTATAAAAGGAATGTACCTCAACATCATAAAAGCCATGTATAACAAACAAACGGCTGTCATATTCAGTGGTGAAGAACAAAGCTTTTTCTCTAAGATCAGGAACAAGACAAGGATATCCACCCTCCACACTTCTATTCAGCATAGTGCTGGGAGACCTAGCCAGAGAAATTAGGCAGTAAAAGGGATCCAAATGGGAAAAGAAGTAAAATTGTCTGTTTGCAGATGATATGATCTTATACATAGAAAACCCTAAAGACTCCATTAAAAAACTGTTATAACTAATACATGAATTCAGTGAAATTGCAGGATACAAAATCAACACACAAAAATCAGTTGCACTTCTGTATACTAACAACTATCAGTAAAGGATATCAAGAAAATCCCACTTATAATAGCATCAAAAACATACTTAGGGATAAACTTTTTGTTATCAGCTTTATTGAGATATAATTGGTGTAATAACATTGTGTAAGTTTAAGGTGTACAACCTGTTGATTTGATACACTTATATACTGCAAAATGATTACCACCATAGCATTAGCGAACATCTCTGTCATGTCACATAATTACTGTTCTTTTTTATGGTGAGTTCATTTAAGTTTTACTCTCTTAGCAACTTTCAAATATATAATACAGTGTTACTAACTATAATCACCATGTTGTGTATTAGATTTCCAGAACTTATTTCATCTTATACCTTTCACCAACATCTCCCCATTTCCCCCACCCCCTCAGCCGCTGGCAGGCACCGCTGTACCCTCTGTAGGAGTTTGAACATTTTAGATTCCATATATAAGTGATGTGATATATCATATTTGCCTGTCTGACTCCACTTAGTATAATGCTCTCCAGGTTCATGCTCTCACAAATGGCAGGATATCCTTCTTTCTCATGGCTAAACAATATTCCTGTATATGTGTGTGCGCGCGCGCGCGCGTGTGTGTGTGTGTATCACATATGTCTCTCTCTCACACAAACATATATATATCTCACATCTTCTTTACCCATTCTGTTGACAGACATGTAGGTTGTTTCCATACCTTGTCTATTGTGGATAATGCCACAGTGAATGTGGGAATGCAGGTGTCCATTCGAGATCTTGTATTCATTCCCTTCAAATATATACCCAAAAGTGGGATTGCTGGATCATGTGGTATTTCTGTTTTTAATTTTTGGGGGAACCTCTGTACTGTTTTCCATATTGGCTGCACCAATTTGTATTGCCACCAACAGTACACAAGTGTTCCCTTTTTTTTACACCCTCACCAACACTTGTTACTTCTTGTCTTTTCAATGGTAACCATTATAACAACTGTGAAGTGATATCTCATTGTGGTTTTGATATGCATTTCCCTGATGATTAGTGATGTTGAGCACCTTTTCATGTACCTGTTGGTCATCTGTATGTCTTCTTTGGAAAAATATCTATTCAGGTCCTCTGCCCATTTTTTAATTGAATTGTTTGTTTTTTCACTGTTGAGATATATGAGTTCTTTATATATTTTGGATATTAACTTCTTATCAGATATGCGATTTGCAAATATTTCCTTCCATTTTGTAGGTTGCCTTTTCATTTTGTTGATGATTTACTTTGCTGTGCAGAAGCTTTTTGGTTTGCTGTAGTCTCACTTGTTTATTTTTGCTTTTGGTGCATTTGCTTTTCATGTCAAACCCAAAAACTCATCACCAAGACTGATGTCAAGGAGCTTACTGCCTATGTTTTCTTCTGGGAGTTTTATGGTTTCAGATCTTACATTCCAGTCTTAAATCCATTTTTAGTTAATTTTTTTGTGTGGTGTAAATTAATTGACCATATATGCATGGGTTTATTTCTGGACTCTCTATTTTGTTCCATTGATTTATGTCTGTTTTTATCCCAATACCATACTGTTTTGATTACTGTAGCTTTGTAATATAGTTTGAAACCTGAGCTATCTGTATTCCCACATTTATTAGTTTTGTGAATATTTAGCATTATCCACAATAGCCAAGGTATGGAAATAGCCCTAATGTCCATCAACAGATGAATGGATAAAGAAACTATGGGATATACATATAGTTTAATATTATTCAGCCTTAAAAAAGAAGGAAATTTTACTATTTGTGGTGTCATGGAAGAATCTGGAAGATATTGTGCTAATTGAGATAAGTCAGTCACAGAAGGATGAATATTATATGATTTCACTTACATGAGGTATCTAAAATAGTCAGATACAGAAAATATTATAGTGGTTGCCAGAGGATGGAAGAAGGGGAAAATAGGGAGTTCTAAAAAGGCTGTAAAATTACAGTTATATAAGATGAATAAGTTGTAGAGATCTGCTGTACAACATACTGCTTACAGTTAACAATATGGTGTTGTGCACTTAAAAACTTGGTAAGAGGGTGGATCTCATATGGAGTGTTCTTAACACACACACACACACACAAACCCCAAACTAAAGGAGCAGAAGAAATCTTTTGGAGGTGATGGATACGTTTATTACCTTGATTGTGGTGATGGTATCACAGGTGTATGTATATGTCCAAACTCATCAAATTGTGTATATCAGATATGTGCAGGTATTTTTCATGTATCAGTTATACCTCAGTGTACCTGTAAAAAAAAAAGAAAGGAACCAGAAAATACTCTGAAGTTTTATTACTCTTATGTGTTTGTGAAGGGAGGAGTACTGAAATATGAGACTTAAAGTTTCTATTAAGGTCATATTGAGAAGAATCGTATATGCTCGACAAAGGAGTTTTGGTTAGTTCTGTGGTCCAGTGTGTTTATTCACTATTTTAAACCCATAACCTGGTACCACTCCTGTAAATATACGTTTCCAGGTACATTAAATGTTATTTGAAATATTAAAACAATAACTATCATCACTAAAGACAAATGAAAGCAGTGGTAATTTTTGTACATTCTTTTTCAAATACACCCTCTCTTGAAGTAAACTTAGATATCCTCTACCTCATCTTCTTGACCCTCAGCACTGACTAGCTGTGAATTATTGATGATGGTAGTAGGGACCCATTAAGTGTTTAAAAACAGTTGCAACGAAATAATGTAGTTATTTGTTTGTTTTAGGAAGATAACCATTCATGGTATAGAAGATGCATAGGAAAATGTGTCATGTACCACAATATTCATTGCAGTTCTATTTACAATAGCCAGGACTTGGAAACAACCTAAGTGTCCATTGACAGATGAACAGATAAAGAATATGTGGCACATATATACAGTGGAATATTACTCAGCCATAAAAAGAAATGAAACTGAGTTATTTGTAGTGAGGTGGATGGACCTAGAGTCTGTCATACAGAATGAAGTAAGTCAGAAAGAGAAAAACAAATACCGTATGCTAACACATATATATGGAATCTAAAAAACAAAACCAAAAAATGGTCATGAAGAACCTAGGGTCAAGTCGGGAATAAAGACGCAGACCTACTAGAGAATGGACTTGAGGATACGGGGAGAGGGAAGGTGTAAGCTGGCACAAAGTGAGAGTGGCATGGACATATATACACTACCAAATGTAAAATAGATAGCTAGTGGGAAGCAGCTGCATGGCACAGGGAGATCAGCTCGGTGCTTCGTGACCACCTAGAGGGGTGGGATAGGGAGGGTGGGAGGGAGGGAGGGAGAGGCAAGAGGGAAGAGATATGGGCATATATGTATGTGTATAACTGATTCACTTTGTTATAAAGCAGACACTAACACACCATTGTAAAGCAATTATACTCCAATAAAGATGTTTAAAAAAATGTGATGTTTGGAGTCAAGGAAGTTAGATTATGGAAAGCCTGAATTAATTCTGTGGCCATAGATAGAGAGGAAACAGATTCAAGGTATATTTCAGATTTAGCATTGCCTAACTTTGGTGGTTGGATATGGAGAGATTGGCATTATGGATGATTCTGAGGTTTCAGGCCTAGGATTAGAATCAACTTGGTGTTGAACCCAAATTCAGAATATAGGAAAAGAAACAGATTTGGGGTAAATATAGTTGTTAGGGGTTCTATTTTCATTAGCCAACCTCCAGAACATTCAGTAGCTTACTACTGTGTTTGGGTTCTGTGGTACTCCAGCTGACTGACAGTTCCTTTTTCTCTGGCTAGGGGTCCTGACTTGAATTCCATGTACTGTTCTATCCTGGTGAGCTAGGCTGGACACTGTAGAAAGCTCAAAGACTCTCTTGAATCTTAAAACAAAAAAACTTCACTTTGTAGAAAGTTATGGAAATTTAGAAACGCATATAAAAATAGAGGGAATAATAAAAAATGAAGCCCCCATGTACCTATTGATATTATCCTGCTTCAGCAGTTATCAGGCGTGGCCAATCTTGTCTCTCTTCTTCCCCTATTTCCTCCCAATTATTTTAAGCAGGTTGCAGACTACCTGCTTCCATGAGTTTTTACATTTTTCTTGTAAAGGTTTAGCCATAGTCACCCTTAAGTTGTCATTTTCCAGAACCTCACCTTCTTTTAACCATCCAGGGGCCAAAAGCCAACTCACAAAGAGAGAGAGTATGTCAACTCTATGTAGCAGACCTAGGAGAACTTTTAATAATCAAAGTTCTCTAGGACTTTTAATAATCTCTTTGTTTCTCCAACCCACAGCATTTCTCCTCAGATCTGGAGAAGAAAATAGATTCTTGGTCTCCTTGAAGCCTTCTGTGAGCCCCTATTTACCCATTTTGTCTCCCAGAACCATTTGTAGCTTAGGACTTCTGGATCCGAGGGATGTTGCCCCTTTATGGGGGTGCTCAAGAGAATATTGGAGAAGTCCTGCATTTTTCCTTGAAGCTCCTTTTTCCATATTTTAACTTTTGTTACTACTGAAAGTTACACCAAAACTGATGTGATAGGAGTTCAGGCCTTCAGTGCCTTTTATTATCAATGTCTTTTCAGGGCTGTTTTCAGAAGCTGCTAGGACACCATAGGCTATTGCTTCAGTTAGGTTTATTCCAAAGTTACCTGATAAATTTTGTCAGAAAGGCCGCCTCTGTTCTATTTTCCCATCTTAAACCACATCCTACTAGTTTGTGTGACAGTGTTCACTAGAAAAGATTAGACAGTGTGCACTAATTAGGTAATGACATTATTTCAATGTCTGGATATGGTCCAGTGTCCAGTATAGTTCAAGTGGTTCAGTGCTAGCAGTATAAGAATATCCCCTCTCGATTTCTCATTCCTCAATGTTGCACCATCTATATCCTCTCCTGTTTTAAAGTAAGGAAAAATTATTTGTTCCCTCAAATTACTTTAGACATGTTGAAGTCCTAATATGTTCATAAACAGGTAATAATGTTGCTGTGTTGGGGATCCCCGTGGCCACCCCCATGTTTGGAGACTTGCTTGAAGCACTCACAGGAGTTATTAGTGACATTGTAGGGCTACACAGCCAGATACAAGGAAAAAAGGCATTAGTGGAGGCTGGAGGAATCCATCTGCAGGCTTCCTTACACTCTCTTCTTCCCATGAAGAGTCATACAGAGTACACTCTTGCCTCAACAGTGAAAATGCAGCAACATGTAAGTGATATTTCTGCCTAAGGAAGTCCATTAGAGACTTGGTGCCCACGTTTTTGGGGGAGGTTTTTCAGGTAGGTACTTTCAATCTAGCACATACCAAAATTCCACATTCTTTGAAGGAAGGCAGGTATTCAGCAAAAACAACATTTTTTATACAAACAGTCTAGGCATAATGAATTGCCATTATCAGTTACAAAATGGTGGGAACCCTCCTGACATCCAAATTTCCAGATACCAGCCAAAGGCCAACCTCGCAGCCTGGCCCTTCTAAGGATAGTAGCTCAGACCTTCTATATTAACCTTTTGTGTACAATGGGTAATAATGGGAAGCTCAGTTTTGGTCTTATTAAATGTAATGGTTCCCAGAACTTGTAGTTGGAGTGGGCTAGTAGGCAGTTTGTAGCATGAATCTGGATCATGTGACATCAGAAAATTGTGTAGTCGCTAGTCATAGGAATAGATAAGAAGCTTAAGGAGGGCATGTAAATTCAGAAAGAAATTCAGAAAACAAATGGAGGCATTAAACTTTATAAAAATAAAGAGAACACTTTTATTCTGAGATGACAGGGAAGTATAGAGAGGTATTTTTTATGTATATATGTCTGTATATAAAGGTGTAATAAGTTTGGAGGTAGATGGATGGGAGAGAACATTGACACCCTTATTGGCTGAGGGTGAGGGGTAGGTTGTGAGCCTTGAGGAGGAAGAAGGAGGGAGAGGAGGAGGAAAGTGTTTTAAAGCATTTAACTTGGGTAGCGAGAACAGGGAGATGACAGGGCCCACTGAAGTAAAAGAATTGCTGTGCAGAATGAAGGATCTGACCTTGTTCCTGACTCCTAGTGCCCCCATCATTTTTTCCTGCAGTTTGATTTCTAATAGTACACTCAACAGAAGCCTTATATTCATAGAAAAATACCTCTTTTTCTTTACGTTCCATACCTGCCAACTTTAAAAGTCAGACATCCAAATTTCATTCTACTTACTTATAGCTCATATCGCCTGTGCAAATAAGCCTCTGGAGTCTTGAAGGGCTCCATTATTCCCTCTCATTGGATTCTCCTTAGCAACTTTTTATAAAGCATTGTAGCCTCGGTGCAGAGGCAAAGGGCTTTGTTGATGTTCAACGGTTTTTTTATGTTTGACTCTTTTGTTCTAGTTTTAGATTTGTGTCTTTTCTGGAACAGGAATAAGAAGTAGAAAATGATAAATTTACTTTTTTATGGTACATGGATAGTAGTTTCTCTTGATGAAGTCATTTATAATATAATTCGCATGCAGGTGTAATTTTAATGAAAATTATGACGTCAAGAAGCAAAAAGCTTTGCTAACCTGCCCTGTTTTCTTCTTCCTCTTCCTTCACCCCTCTTCCCCACTTTTTTTTTTTTTTTTTTTTAATTACAGCAAAAGTCTGGAGAAAAGCCTGTCCCAGGTATGGTTCATCTGATAATTCTTATCAAACTTGAAATAAGACCAAACAGCCTGTTTAACTCAGTAACAATCATAACATGTGAGGTGAATTATGATCATTTTGTCCTTTTAGACTCTCTAATGCCAGTTTGTTACTCCTAACCTTTGATCTGCTGATTGCCAAAAGGTGGTGCTTTTGTGGTAGTGATATTAGTATTTGAAAGATGCATTAGAGTGGGATGAACAGGTATTGAGGGTGTGTGGAGAAGCTGAGGTGATTCTAGGTTGTCAAAAGTTTGAAAAAAGGCCTTCTGTTTCATCATTGAGAATAGGTATTGGACTGCCCATTGACCTGGCATAGAATAATTATGTATCTTTTTTATGCATAATGTCTTATTTAAATGTCATGTGTTTTTGTCTAGTATCATAATTTGCTTGTATTATCAGGTTTTTTGTTTGTAAATTGGTTCTTATACATCTGCCTGATGAAACAGCTAAATTTAGAACTTGAGATAAGTAGTTCTAAATTAATTTGAGAGTCTGAACCATTCACATTAACTGTTGTCTAAACTGGTCTTATCCCTCCACCCTCCTCCCCCTCCAAAAAATATCTGCTTTTGATGTCTAGTGGATCAGACAAAGAAAGAGGCAGAACCTATACCAGAAACTGTAAAATCTGAGGAGAAGGAGACCACAAAGAACGTTCAACAGACTGTGGGTACTAAAGGCCCCCCTGAAAAACGAATGAGACTTCAGTGAGTATTGGACGAGAGAGACGCTTGGCAAGACTCCTCTTGTCCACATTTTACCTCATTACTGTGACAGGCTCTTGAACTTTAAAATTCTTTGTCACAATCATTCGTATAGAATGTGCTTGTTCTTTGAGAAAGGATGTAAGGATGCTCATGCTTTCAGTCTGAATATTTTTAATGTATCTTTTGTAACCTTTTCCCTACTGGACTTGAGCAGCTTCCTCCCTCACATATTTACTGTGATACATGTTTAAAGATAAGATAAAGGTATTTGTATAAATTAGTTTATCATGACGTTTTCCCCCTTATTTTCCCTCTGAAATATTTCCAGATGCATTTTGTAAACACAAAGGATTAATGTTAAAATAGTAGCTAAGCTTATTTTCTATTATTAGTTGCATATTCCTCAGTATTAAAATAGTAAGGTTACTAACAGTTTGAAAGGTAAAGAAAAGGAAAACAACCTCATTAAGCAATATCACCACCCTACAGATACTATAACAATGTTGTGGCATGGAAGCATGGAGTCTTAACCACTGGACCACCAGGGAAGTCCCTGTGTGTAGATATTTTTAAAACCATAGTTTGTAATTATTCTGTTCATACAATTTTACTTTATCATATTATGTCTGTTGTATGTGCTATTCCATGTTTACTTAGTTTTTATAGACTATACTTTGTTAACTGAATAATTCCTATGAGTGATTATATCTGTTTTCTTAAACTCTCCCTGTGTTGTACTTAAGTTTTTACCAATTTACAATTTGCATTAAGGCTGTAGTGATTACAGTATTTAAATAAGGCTGTAGTGTATCATGAGTTTTCAGTACTTAGTATTTATCTCCTTAGTATGGAGTCCCAGCCATAGAATCATTAGAATCTGTACTTTTTTTTTTTTGGCCTGTTATTACTCTAACAGCAAAATATGAAAGTACCAAGTTCTGTAGAATCTCGCTGAAACTGAGTATTGTCACCTACATTTTTAGTGCCAATTACGTAGCAAAAAAGTGGTGTTTCATTATTTTAAGTGGTTGAATAATTTCTCATCTTTGATTCTTACTTTTATGAAGTATCTGATTTTCTGTATTGTGTAAGATTTTTTAGTTTTTTTATTTTGACATAATTTCAGGCTTACAGAAGAGTTGTCAGAGTAGTACAGAGAATTTCTCTATATACACCTTTTGCCCTAATTCCCCATATATTAACGTTTTCCATATTTGTCTTATTCTTTAGTCTCTGTCTCTCTTTCCCTGTCTCTAACTCGTGTTGTCATTTGCTGTTTCTCTCTCCTTCTCTCTCTGTGTGTGTGTGTGTGTGTGTGTGTGTACATACACATATAATACACACATATATACACCTTTTATTTTGGATTGAGAGTCGGTTGCAATCGTGATGCCCATTTTCCCTAAGAACTTTAGTGTGCATTTCCTAAAATCAAGGACATTCTTTTACATAGCCTTGGTAAAATTATCAGAATTAAACCAGTATGATACCATTATCTAATCTGTAGGTCTTATTCAGATCTTGCTAGTGATGCCAAGAATGTCATTTACAGCAAAAGAATATCCTGAATTGTGCATTAGATTTAGTTGTCGTAGCTCTTTAGTCTCCTTTAATCTGAAACAGTTCTTTAATCTTCCATGTTTTTCATGACTTGATATTTAAAGAGTTTAGGCCAGTTATTTTGTTGAATGTCTCTTAATTTGGGTTTGTTTGATATATTTTCATAATTAAATTCACCTCATGCACTTAAAAACATTTTTTTTCACATTCCAAGCATTGTTTATTCCAGGATTACGAGAATGATTCAACAATTGGATCTATTACTCTGAATTAACATATTAATTGCAAAAATACACTTTTGTTAGGAATACCATGGAAAAGATGCTAGTGGAGGCGCATGCTGTCAACTTGTCCCATTCCTGGTGATGTTAACTTTGATCACTTGGTTAAGGTAGTGTTTGTCAGGTTACTCCACTGTAAAGTTAGAATTTTTCTTTTTCTAATTTATAGGTATTTTGGGGGGGGGGGAAGTAGTTCGAGGTCTGTAAATACCCTGTTATTTTTCAGAACTTTTACCCTCCAGTAGCATTCACTGATAATTCTTGCCTAAATCATTTATTACTATTATGGTTGCCGAATGGTGATTTTCTTTCTAATTCCTTCATTCCTTCTGTGTTTATTAGTTGGCTTTCTGCTATAAAGAAGAGCTTTCCTTTCCCCCCCTGCTTATTTATTTATATCATTGTAGACTCTTGGATTCTTATTTATTCAACGAGTTATATTTCTTTACTCTCATTAATTTATATTGATGCTCAGATTGTCCCAGATTGGGCCAATGGGAACCGTTTCAAGCTGATTCTTAGGTCCTTTTGACATGACCTTGTCATTCATGGAGGATTTTCTTTATTTTTGGCACAATAAGATATCCCAGGCTCATTCCAACCCTGGAGGCAGCCATTTCTCTAAGGACCCCTAGTTCCTTTTGGTGGAGAATATATTTGGAAGTCAAGATCTTTGTGCAAGGTGTGTTCATTTGTTACTGGGGTGTCATGGCTTCTGGGCTTTGTCAGCTGATAGAGTTAAGAAATAGATATATACTGGGACTTCTCTGGTGGCCCAGTGGTTAAGACTCTGTGCTTCCACTGCAGGGGGCATGGATTCTATCCCTGGTTGGGGAACTAAGATCTTGCGTGCTGCGTGGCCAAAAAAAAAAAAGAAAAAGAAATAGATATGTACATATGTGTGTGACATGAGTGAATACACATATGTCCACACACACACACACACATATCTGTCTTCTCTCTCTCTCTCTCTCTCTATATATATATATATATATTTTTTTTTTTTTTTTTTTTGTGGTACGCGGGCCTCTCACTGTTGTGGCCTCTCCCGTCGCGGAGCACAGGCTCCGGACGCGCAGGCTCAGCGGCCATGGCTCACGGGCCCAGCCGCTCTGCGGCATGTGGGATCTTCCCGGGGCACAAACCCGTGTCCCCTGCATCGGCAGGCGGACTCTCAACCACTGCGCCACCAGGGAAGCCCTATTCTATATATATTAAAAGGAACCAATTCACACTGATAACACCAATTCCAGTTTATTCATCACAGGGTTTACGCTGTTCTCTTTCACATTTGTAACTTTCTTCCACATTGATTAGAACTGTTTCTTGTTATACACAATGTTTGTACTTATTTGCTTAATCCTAGAATAACAGAAAGTTGTTTTAGAATTGCTAACCTATACCTCTGCAAAAAAAGAAACCTCTTAATTAGAATTCAGTATTTGCTTAGACTTCTTTTTGTCTTTAGTTTGTAGATATATAGTTCAGATACTGTGTTTAAAAATCACTTGGGTTAATTTTTTTTTTCCCCCAGTGTGGTTACACTACTCATGTATCAGATGTTCCAGTTCATTTGGTTCTGCTTTGAATTCCATTTTAGTTTTTCCCCTCATTGTTATTGATTATTTTGTTTTGTTGTTGTACTGTGGGATGTGTGAGTTATCAGCATAGTTCTTAAAGTCAGACCTGTCCAAAAGAGATTCTAAGTATCATACCCCTTCCTCATTTCTTCTATCTTTTCCACCTTATTCCTACCTGCCCCTCTCACAGAAATGAACCTAATTAGTCTCTAGTTTACCTTTACTGTATTTCTGCTGCACAAATGAATAGATGTTTTCTTATTTCCCCTTCTAACACAAAAGGCAACATACTATATGAACTTTTGCACTTTGCTTACTTTCCACTTATTTAAGCATGAACTTTGATTTGACATAAAGATATTAACTCTAGTATTTTTTCAACTTTTTATTTCCAGCAAAGCTCCTTTTTCTTTCACTTACATTATTTTAAAATATCAGTTAACAGAAAAGTACACAAAATAATAGTACAGTTCATTGTACCTGTGTAACTTACCATGCAGGTAAAGAAATTGAACATTGCCAATGCCCCAGAAGCTCCTTTATGTCCCCTCCTGATCACAATGTTTGTCCCGATTAGAGGTCACACTTATCCTGTTTTATGGTAATCACTTATTTTCTTTACATTTTTACCACATCACCTTGCATCCCTAAATAAATTTTTAGTTTTTATTGCCTACTTTTTATTTTTAGTATGAATAGATTTAGTATGTGTATTTCATGTATGACTTATTTTGTTCAATACTATGTTTGTGACATTTATCATAGTTGTTTCATGTTATTGTAGTTCTTTTTTTTTTCATTTCTGTACAGTATTCCTTTATATACATGTATTACAATTTTAAAAAATCCATTCTAATGGTGATGGACATTTGGATTGTTTGTAGTTTGGGGCTATTGTGAAAAATTGCTTTTATGAATATTCTTTTTGGTGTATATTATAGGCTGAATTGTGTCATCTCACCCCCAAAATGTTGAAGTCCTAACTCCCAGTACCTCAGAATGTGACGTTATTTGGAAATAGGGTCATTTCAGATGTTATTAGTTAAGATGAGGTCTTGCTAGAGTAGGCTGAGACCCTAATCTGATGTGACTGGTGACCTTATAAAAAGAATGCCACATGAAGAGACAAAGGGAGACACCATGTGAAGATAGAAGATTGGAGTGTTGCATCTACAAGCTTAAAAACACCAAAGATTGACACCAAATTACCAAAAGCAAGGAGGAGGCAAGGAAGGATTCCCCTGTAGGTTTCAGGGGGAACATGGCCCTGCACATACCTTGATTTTGGACTTCTAGCCTTCAGAACTTTGAGATAATAAATTTCTGTTGTTTTATTTTCCAGTTTATACTCCCACCAGCAGTGTGTGAGAGTTCCTATTGTCCACACCTTTGTTGACCCTTGATACTGTCAACTAAAGAAAATTTTAGTCATTCTGATGGGTATACAGTGGTATCTTGTTGAGGCTGAAATTTGTATTTCCTGGTGATCTGATGATGTTAAGCTTTTTTTCCTGTGATTGTTGGCTACTTGAATATCCGTTTTTGTGAAGTGTGTCTTTTGCACATTTTTCTACTGTTT